ACTACTACTACTACTACTACTACTACTACTACTACTACTACTACTACTACTACTACTACTACTACTACTACTACTACTACTACTACTACTACTACTACTACTACTACTACTACTACTACTACTACTACTACTACTACTACTACTACTACTACTACTACTACTACTACTACTACTACTACTACTACTACTACTACTACTACTACTACTACTACTACTACTACTACTACTACTACTACTACTACTACTACTACTACTACTACTACTACTACTACTACTACTACTACTACTACTACTACTACTACTACTACTACTACTACTACTACTACTACTACTACTACTACTACTACTACTACTACTACTACTACTACTACTACTACTACTACTACTACTACTACTACTACTACTACTACTACTACTACTACTACTACTACTACTACTACTACTACTACTACTACTACTACTACTACTACTACTACTACTACTACTACTACTACTACTACTACTACTACTACTACTACTACTACTACTACTACTACTACTACTACTACTACTACTACTACTACTACTACTACTACTACTACTACTACTACTACTACTACTACTACTACTACTACTACTACTACTACTACTACTACTACTACTACTACTACTACTACTACTACTACTACTACTACTACTACTACTACTACTACTACTACTACTACTACTACTACTACTACTACTACTACTACTACTACTACTACTACTACTACTACTACTACTACTACTACTACTACTACTACTACTACTACTACTACTACTACTACTACTACTACTACTACTACTACTACTACTACTACTACTACTACTACTACTACTACTACTACTACTACTACTACTACTACTACTACTACTACTACTACTACTACTACTACTACTACTACTACTACTACTACTACTACTACTACTACTACTACTACTACTACTACTACTACTACTACTACTACTACTACTACTACTACTACTACTACTACTACTACTACTACTACTACTACTACTACTACTACTACTACTACTACTACTACTACTACTACTACTACTACTACTACTACTACTACTACTACTACTACTACTACTACTACTACTACTACTACTACTACTACTACTACTACTACTACTACTACTACTACTACTACTACTACTACTACTACTACTACTACTACTACTACTACTACTACTACTACTACTACTACTACTACTACTACTACTACTACTACTACTACTACTACTACTACTACTACTACTACTACTACTACTACTACTACTACTACTACTACTACTACTACTACTACTACTACTACTACTACTACTACTACTACTACTACTACTACTACTACTACTACTACTACTACTACTACTACTACTACTACTACTACTACTACTACTACTACTACTACTACTACTACTACTACTACTACTACTACTACTACTACTACTACTACTACTACTACTACTACTACTACTACTACTACTACTACTACTACTACTACTACTACTACTACTACTACTACTACTACTACTACTACTACTACTACTACTACTACTACTACTACTACTACTACTACTACTACTACTACTACTACTACTACTACTACTACTACTACTACTACTACTACTACTACTACTACTACTACTACTACTACTACTACTACTACTACTACTACTACTACTACTACTACTACTACTACTACTACTACTACTACTACTACTACTACTACTACTACTACTACTACTACTACTACTACTACTACTACTACTACTACTACTACTACTACTACTACTACTACTACTACTACTACTACTACTACTACTACTACTACTACTACTACTACTACTACTACTACTACTACTACTACTACTACTACTACTACTACTACTACTACTACTACTACTACTACTACTACTACTACTACTACTACTACTACTACTACTACTACTACTACTACTACTACTACTACTACTACTACTACTACTACTACTACTACTACTACTACTACTACTACTACTACTACTACTACTACTACTACTACTACTACTACTACTACTACTACTACTACTACTACTACTACTACTACTACTACTACTACTACTACTACTACTACTACTACTACTACTACTACTACTACTACTACTACTACTACTACTACTACTACTACTACTACTACTAAAGACAATATTTTCTTCCAGTATCATTTACTGAACGCGTAAAGTTCATAAGATTAATCAAATAATAAATCGGGTAACAGTAGATAATTTTCATTATCAAGTGAATAAGATAAAATCCTCTGTACTGAAAAATCAGTTTCGTTATACTTGTATCAACACACCGGAAAATATTCATTCGGGTGTATCATAGACATTTAATTTAATTTCATAGAAAGTAGTATATATTACCAACTTACATCCAGTAATACTCCTTTACAAAATCATACTATTTTGTGACCTGAAGTCTTAGGAGATTTCCGATTTGGCTGCTCTTCACATAGAAATTACAATATCTGATAACTAGAAAAAAGAAACTGCAAAGAATCCCTATCTAATAAACGTTAATATTTTCTACGTTATTGGCGGATTTATTAACTGTTCCAATAAACTTGAATAAGAACTCTTGGAAATTTGATTTCATTTTAATTATCAAGTCTATACTTATAACCAGCTTTTTTATTCAACCCATCGTTACATAGATCATTTCCATTATCGAAATATTTATAGTGAGAGGATGAACTTTCATCATTTATGTATTCACAGAAGTTATTGAACTCATAAATCAAAGAAGGCATATGGAAATCAAAGTGAATAATTATAATGAATTAATGATGATAATCGTTCTGGATCATGATTTTTCACAAGAACAAATTCTTACACATATTTGCTTTAATTACAATCATGCTATCTAGGTAGTCACTTTAAGTGATTATAATATGAGCTAGATCCATTTACATTTCTAGCTCAGTGGTTAGTAAGTTTTAAGGTGAATGCTACTTTCTTTTGAAGCTCAATATGATTATCATTTAGTGGAAGATTTCAAAAAAGACTTATTGAAAAATGTCAACTAACACGAAACCTAGAGTTAGAGCTTCCACTGTTTATACTCAACTACTAAACGACTAATATATATTGCAGGATATTGTTGAGTCAATTCGTGTAGTGATTACATTACAAATGTATTGATGATAGTATTAAAACAGTTACTAGGAAGTGAATAGCATATGATCAGCAAATATAAATATAAACCACACAAGCATGTTAAAACCGTTAGGCTTCTAATTAGACTTATTCTGGACCGGATGCTCACCATATTTTATCCTCTGTTATTTTAAAATACGAAATAGTGATCATTCACTATTGTTATAAAAACCAATCTGTTCTCTCAGTTGTTTTGACCTTGGTGAGTGTAACTTTTCGTCAAATTTTCCGGAGTTCGGTCAAAAGCATAACAATGAACAAGAATATATTTCAGTCAGTGATAAAATGTTAGCCAGGAAATTCAAGTCCATTTTGAAGAATAACTTGATACTTGTCGATTCTCAACGGTCAATGAGCTAATATAGTATTATTATGCAAAAGTGTTTTATAGATATTTCTCTATTCTATATATTCACTATCGTGAAAACTAGATAGTTTAACTAGCTGTATCGTCTTTTATCGGAAGATATTAATGTAATCAACTTCTTACCAAAATGTGAAATTATACTAGGCTTTTCTCATCAACTGTACATATTCCCTGGTAAGAATTATGATAGATATAAAGAAAACAATCCAAGTAAAACTTTTAATTCAGGTAACATTATCAACAGCCTATAAATTAATTTTACATCATACAAACAAATTTCTTTACGTCACTACATTTCTAGTAGTTTTGTTGGTTATATCTATCTATAACCTCGTTCAGTAACCGACATAATTATTTATAACTTGATAAGTTACACATAAAATAGTCACCAGATGTCTGAAGACTAGTTGGACTAAGGTTACAATTCAAAAATCCGAAACGAATAATTTTTTCTCAAGTTAAACTGCATCACGAATGAAAATTAACTAGATAACCAATAAACATTGAATATCACTAGATAGATTTTTTTCGATTTTAGTACAAAACTTCATAATAGTGTACATCGATCACCCATCAACTGATTGAATCCACTAGATAAAGCAAGAGAAAATTATGTTTAATTCAGTGAGTTTATATTCAATCTATAATATTTCTAACATCATTTAATTTCTCATAGTTACTTAGTTTTACCGAAAGTGTTTAAATGACTGGCGATAACCAACCTATTTTGGTGGAGTTTTGTTCTCTGAGCTGGATGGTTTGGTCGTGGAGCTTTCATCGTTCTTCTGAACGACATCATCAGCACAAACTTCAGACAGATGATTTCGTTCAGAAGAACGATGAAAGCTCCACGACCAAACCATCCAGCTCAGAGAGCAAAACTCCACCAAAATCCTATTCCTGAGCTACAAATCTTCTCCACCATCTCGATAACCAACCTAGAAATTATTAGAAAAAATGAATAATTTTCATGATTGTTTAAAAATAAGCCATGAAGGATGACTATAGAATTTTTATGAACACATATATGACATCTTCATTGGTAAAGTTATGCATATTAAGCTGATTCATAGATGACATTCCGCAATACAGTGAAATCAACTGCCAAATGGTCAAAACTCTGAATTGTTGGTTCAAGCCTTACAATTAAACTGGTGCTAAAAATACAACTGGCTGATAAAGCATCAAATATTTTGCAATACATAAACATTCATGCAAAAACAAACATAACTAGAAGTTTTAAAATATTAAATTTTCTCATTCTTGGTTTTCATGTTTGAATTTTTTGGCACAGATGCATTATCGACAGATAGAGTCAATATAGCTGATTTGTTGAAACCCTAGGTTATAAATACATTTAGGAGATGAGTTCCAAATGTGACAAAATGTGCTCTCTGAGTTCCACTGTTGACCACAATCTATAGAATTCAAAGTTATGTGAAACATATGAGACAAGTTTTGTTGATTACCAATTGGTCAATGAAATTAAAATTCAACTTTAAAGTTTGATTCTAATCCACGATATCTTAGAAATGAAAAAGATATAATAAAAAGAACGTTGTCAGTTAAACCTCTGCAGAGTGTCACACAAAGCACAAATATTCTACAGAAACGAAAGAGAAAGGTTTTAGCTAGGTCTGAAGTACTGATCGGTATTACGTGGTTTACTGATCAGGTTCGTTTTAAAAACCAAAAGGTTGGGATCATAAAAACTTAAGAATACTATTTTTAAAATAGTTTCTATAATTAACATTTCTTTGACTTGGTTGGAAACGTCTGATACATAATTGAACACATCATGCTTAATGAAGGTTCATCAAAATGAAATGATGATTTCGCTATGATCTACCAGTTCAGTTCAATCACAAATACACATACCTCAACGTTTAACACAACCACCTACATAAGTAAGATTTAAATTGTGTAAGAAGCTTTATTCTATGTGTTAAATGAATCGGCACATAAATCATGCTGTGTACAAAATAATTGGGTGATCCAAACAAATAAATTTGGTCAGTGACTTTTGTTAGGTAAGTAATTTACCTATTAACAATATCCTTCTCACACTTGATCTATCACCAGGTCTATCAGACTTAATAAGTAAATTATTTGACTTTCAACAAGTGATCTAACGCTTCGAATCTTATAACACCTATTTCTGTTTGGAAAAGAAATGTAATGATAACCTTCGAATTTCAATAAAACTTTGATTATTTTGATGGCTTTCCAAAGAAATATGGAATATAGTTTGTGTAGTAAAAAGGGGGCATTAAAGAGTCGGTTTTATGTAATACTCAAGAAAACAATTAAATACGGCGTGGCGTTCATAAAAAATTACACTTAAGAATGTAGATAAACATATCTCTTGCATAATCTTAATTTTCATTCCTATAGCTAATTCCTAGAGCTTCAAGGTAGAAGCATGAATAAAAGCTTCAATATTCATCAAATATTTTTTTCTATGTTGCAAATGGCCATTATCGACATGACAAACCATAAATGCACTTGATTAAATTTCTAACATCTTTAACTAAGATATTTAGAACTTTATGTACGTCGGTGGGTGATTTTACAGACGGTACTTTAGTGACCGAGTATCAAATTGTATCTTTTCAGTTGTTAATAAAATATGTCCAGTCATTTAAAAGCTGTCACCACTATCTTCTCTAAATGACAAAATTTTCAATTTCGTACACGTTCAATTCATAATTCATTAATCTATAGGTAATGATATCACGAGTTCAATTCATTGTTCTTACAGATTAAGCATTAATTAACTGTTTAAACTATCAATTCCAATCGAGAACCTACACGTTTATAGTGCACAAAATCTATTGAAATGATAATTTGGACTAAATTATACAGTTTTTTTATGTAAATCATATGTGTTATAACTTGTGACTCTGTTGCCCCTATCAATACATATAACGTGATGATACCGCCAATTAGAGAACAGTGTCGTATCGACCGACCAATGACACGTAAACCCGTACGAGTGGTCTAGATTCCTTATCGGTTTTGCTTCCTACCTAACTCTGCCTGTTAAGTCCAGAACACCAATCTCAGCCTTTGTATGTATTTCAAACATACTCGGTTTATATGCAAACCAAACGGATCACATTGTACCATAAAATGGAAAATAACATTTGCACAATATCTAGCTAAAGTGGCTGCGAATGCGGGAGACTGAAATTAATAGACTGGGCAGAACTCAAGAACGATAAATTTTACAATAATAGATTGTGGGTCAAAATAAAGCTGATGAAAAAAGGAACATGAGTGTGCATAGTTAAGCTACTTAACAATTATACAATAAGAAAATATGTATTGTATTGGTCCATAAATAGTTCTCAAGAGTTACCATTCATAATTCTCATCGGGATATAACAATGTGCTTTGATACTTAGGAATTATCAATACACAACGTTATTTATTCTTCAAGTTGAAAATAACAAATAATTACCATTAAATTAATTACAAAAACGATAAAAAGAAAATGTAACGTTCATGAAATTTCCGTTTAGGTGGAGTGACCAACCAATTTAACTGTTACAATTTAGCAACTGTAAATCGCAATTAAATTCGAGCTATTTTATCCACCGGTAAGACAATAGTAATGTGAAGTTCTGATTGAAAATTAGAGCATACTGTCAAT